AAAGTCCATGTTGAATGCAAAAACTCTTCTAAGATGTTTTTGGGTTGAAACTATTCACATGACTGCTTAACTTCTCAATCGGAGCCCTACATCAGCCTTGCAAAATAAAACATCTTTTGAAGCTTAGAAGGGGTAGAAGTCAAAAGTAACTCACTTGAAAGTTTTCGATTGTATTTTTTACGTTCATATTCCTTTTTTAAAAAGACATAACTTTGATGAAAATAGTATCAAATGCGTATTTGTAGGCTATAGTAATAAAATAAAAGGGTATCATTTTATGATCATATCACTAAGAAGCTAATTATTAATCGTGATGTTGTGTTTGATGAGAAAAAGTAGTGGAATTGGTATGAGAAACAAGGATATTCAGAATTATTTAAAGCTGGTGATTATGTATGTAATACTCGAGCAGCTCTGACTTTGAAAAGTCATATGGTTACATGCAACATGAAGATATTGACTTTGAAGAGATATTTGCACTGATGGCAAGATTTGACACCCTTATTGTCCTAGCTATAACTACACATTATAAATGGAGTATTTATTAATTTAATATCAAATCAGCCTTTTTAAATTATTTTTTAGATGAGGATACATGTGGAGCAGTCGTTAGGTTATGAAGTAAAAAGGCAAGAGACAAAGGTGTGCAAATTGATAAAGGCCTTGTATGGCCTTAAGCAAGCTCTATAGGTCTGGTATGTACAGATTGATGGACATTTCAGCAACAATGATTTTCATAGAAATGCTAGTGAGCCAACCTTGTATGTGAAACAAAGAGGAGTTGATGAGGTACTTATTGTTTGCTTTTATGTAGATGATTTAATCTACACTAGCAATAGTCCTTCATTGTTGGTTGATTTCAAAATCTTGTGATTGAAGAATTTGATATGACTAATTTGGGTTTGATGAGCTATTTTTTGGGACTAGAAATATATCAAGTGATGCTGGATTTTTTGTTTGTCACAAAATATGCAAATGATCTCTTAGAATTTAGATTACAAGATGCAATCGGGTGAAAACTCTAATGGCAACTAATCAAAAGTTAAGTGTTGAAGATTGAAAAAAACATGTTGATGCTCATGTTTATCAAAACTTGGTAGGCAACCTACTGTATCTCACTAACACTTGACCGAACATCTTGCAAGCTATTAGTCTCTTGTCCTTTATGTAAAAACCAAGAAAAATACACTATACTATGGGGCAGCAAAAAGAGTATTAAGATACTTGAAAGGAACAACTTCATATGGTTTGTTTTATAGCACCGGTAATTTAAATTTATATGGATATTCGGATAGTGATTGGAAATGTTGAGTTGATGGTCACAAAAGCACTACGAAATATGTATTTAGTTTGGAATCAAGTATTATATCTTAGAGTTCAAAGAAACAAGCATCTACAACTTTATCATCATCAGAGGCTGAATACATGGCTGTAATTTCAGCAGCTTATCCGGTAGTGTAGTTGTAAAGTATTTTAGAAGACATAAAGCAAAAGCAAGATGCAACTATGATCTATTATGACAATCAGTCCACCAATGTCATGATAAAGAATCCTATTTATCATAGTTGTATATGACAAATTAAAACTTGACATCATTTTATTAGAGAATTGGTAGCATAATAAGAATTCAAATTGTATATTGTAATAAAAATGACCAACTAGGTGATATGTTTACAAAACTTCTTCCTTTAATAAAATTCAAATATTTTAAACAAATGATTGGTTTTATAAACTTCTGTACTATAGGGGAATGTTAAATATAATACAGAAATTAGTAGGTCATATGATTTCTTTATTTAATTACACGCTTTTTTATGTTTTCAATTATCTAAAATAATTGCCCTCTTCTTGTAGTTAATGGGTAAGTGGTAGATATTTTAGGGATGTGTTTATCATGGGTATCTAGTTGTTAATTTTATGGGTTTATGGTTGTAATTTTAGTGTATAAATTTGTTAGCTGGGAATAATAAAATTAGATTAGTTGTTCAGCATTCTTTTTCTACCTAAAACCTATTTGATAAAAGTCTTGAGTGTTTTCTAATTTGTTGTTCAGCCTCTCTTAATTTTGCAGTCAAGCAGAGAAGTTTCTTTCTTTATTCCTAACCAGAATTTTAAAGTTAACAATTGTCAAGTTTTACTTAAGTTCTGCAATTAACATCTAAGTTGTTAAATAACATATGATATTTGGACATATGACTTGTTCACCCATTGTCTGCATACTTACACAAGAGGCCTCAGTCACTATGAAGAGATGACTTTCCTGTTGTACACACTTCTCAGTAAAATTGACTCTGTGTTGCTGAAGTGGTTGTTGTCATTGTTGAACCTCATTCTTTTTCTGTGGTACTTGATTTTTTATCTTCCACCACACTTTTTACAATCTTGCATTGTACATGCTTTTAACATTTGCTTTCAAGATGGTTGGATTTATCACAACTAACACAAGAAGGATATTTTCCTTTTTTCAATGAATATTTTGAACTTTATGGTTGCTTCCCTTTATTTCCTTAGGACTGAACTTCTTCTTTTGAAATTAAGATCTAAAACTTGTCCCTCTGCCTTGTTTCAATCTCAATGATCTCACCATTTCTACTCCTGAACTTGTAACTTACTAATAAGTTCAACAACAGTAAGTTTCTCAAAATCACATATTTCTTCTATCAAAGATAAAATTTGATTCAAACTTTTCAGGGAGGTTGTTCATCATTTTTTCAACCACTCTCTGATTTTTAAATTTTTATAATTCTTGTAGAATACTCTTTAGTACTTTCTTCATCATGTATTCTCAATAGTTCAAACTCTCTTTTTAGAGTAAGCAATTTCATATCTCTCACTTTAGCACTTCCTGCATATTCTTCTCTCAAATAGTCTCAAACTTTTTTGGTTGTTTTAAAGGCCACCAGCCTTAGGAAATTTCTTCAAATACTACAAAATAAAGAATTGAAAGAGCTTTAAAATTCCTCATAAACTTTTCTACGTCTTGCGTAATTGTGACAAGGTGGGATTCTCGATAATGGAACTCTTACATACTCCTCGTCCGTAATGCTCCACAGATTATAGGAAAGAAGATAGACTTCCATTCTCGTTGCCGAAAAATTATAATGCTCCTTTATAACTACTGGTGGGGCTGGCAAGTTCACATTCGAAGCCTCTTTTTGCTGGAATGAGGAACATAATCCTTTATTGAAAGATTGAGTGAGAATTTAAGAAAGTTAAAAAGTGGGGAGCAAAATACAAGGAAGAAAGAAAGAAAGAAAGAAAAGTTGTTAGAAAAATTTTGATTGATATATTTTCAGCATTCATTCAACTCCTTAAATACAAAAATAAACTTAAGGTATAATTGTTAATAAGTGTTGCAAAATAAAGTATTAAATCAGTTTTACTGATTATACATGTTCCAAATAGAAAGAAAAAAAAAAAAAAAAAAGGATTTTACAGATTTCCAACAACTTATAAATCAACACTTCTTTCTTTCAAGGAATTGCTTCCACTTCTCCTTCTAGTGGAGATTTTCTACTTCGCCTCTCTCATTTAGTAATTTTTTGTTTGAGACTATTAAGATTAATAGAACAAAAAATAGAAGAAGCATATGAAGAGCCGAGAAAAAACAAAAGAGAGAAATTAGGGGGAAAGAGACAACGTTGGGTGTGAGGAGTAAATGCCAAGACTGAGAGTGAAAAAAGAGTTGAGCAGCGTGAGTTACCATGGTAGAGAATCAATAATTTGCTACCCTTTTTTTAAAAAAAAAAAAAAATAGTTAGAATCATGATATTATAACGATAATTTATCAAAAGTACTTTTGGGTAGAAGCAATTTAACACCCCTTACTATGTCTCCATTGTTAAATGAGAAATCTTATTAGCTTTATAAAGAAGAACAAACAAACAAAAGAAAAGACAATTTCAACAAAATTCCATGAATGAATTTTTCAAGGATATGCAACCTCTAGCAAAGCTTATAGAGTCTTTTAACAAAAGAACTCTAATATAGTTGAAGGATCTGTACATGTCATCTCCAAAGAAAAATTATGGAGATGAGGACTAATGAACTCACTGGAAAAATTAAATATTGAAGAATCATTGGTTGATAATAGAAATGACAATAAGGAAGAAATACAAGCTACGGTGAAAACCAAAAACAATAAATATACAAAGAGCTACCTAAAGAATGGAATTGTGCAAATGTTAATTTTAAGAACAACTTATAAGTGACACATTACGCGGAGTGAAAACTAGGAGTGTATTGAGAAATTAATGGCAATTTGTTGCTTTCATATCCCAAATTGAACCTAAAAATTTTAAAGAATGCAAAAAGGATAAAAATTGAGTAAGTGTCATGCAAGAATAATCAAATCAATTTGAAAGAAAGAAAATATGAAATCTAGTACCTAGACTCAAGGATAAAATCATTATTAGCATTAAATGGGTATTTAGGAATAAAATGAATTAGAATATGGGTAGTAGCTAGATTAACAAAGAAAATTTCTTAATTGTTCAAGTTATGCGAATGATATAATCTTTCGGTGCAGCTAACGAAAATGTGTTTAAAGAATTCTCAAAAAGTATCCCAAAAAAAGTCATACTTGCGTGCTCTCATGAAGATACTCAATTACTTAAAAGACACTCAATCTCTTGGCTAATTGAACATAAAAGAGTAGTAATAATAGAACATGT